GTAGTCAATCAGTCTCAAACATCCTTCACACCAAGGTTTCATTTGTCTTCCCAACATTGTCTTCTCTGACAGTTAAGAGGACCAGAAACTTCTGCTGGCTTCTGAGTCACCATGGAAGAATTCTGCATGTCTTTGGAGACCACGTGAAAGTTCCAGAAACTAAGGGAGGAGAGGGGCCCAGTGGAATCTCATAATTCAAACAGCAGCCGTGGGGCCCAGCATGGGAATGACATCATCTTTGCTCCTCCAGTGGGACCACTAAATAACCGCATGGAGAAGATCGGCTAGTCAAGGCCTGCCCATTTGCTTAAGATGCAATGAAATGGCTGCTGTTTCAGGCTGATAATTTCCGGGACAGTTTATTTGGTGCCAGGAATGGAATGCTTCCTTTACCAAAAACTTAAAACTACGGTATCCTTGTTGGGACTGAGAAGTGGGCAGAAGCCTCATCAAGAGATCTGGTGGTGGAAGCTCATGGAGATGTCAGTTAAAACTTGAGAATATTCCTAAACTGAATCTTTTGAAGCAAACTTTCTCAAAATAGGAAGTGGCCACAGGACAAAGATCAAATTGAAGGTACTCCCATTAGATATGACTTCAGGGGAGATCTCAAGGCCGTGGCTGCAAGAATGTTTGTGCCAACCTTGCCAAAGTTAAAGGATGGATGCAGAAGATGCTTTTCATCTAGAAATAAGGCTATTATGGATCTTAATGGCTTCCTAGCACCTTAATGTTCAGCTCAGGAGTGAGGGCCTCTCTCTGAGAGAAGTGTGGGCTGACTTTGCATAATAGAGTGGATTATAACTTATACTCAGGAAGCCTATAAAGTTTTTAAGGAAATTGTACAGAATTAGACTGACGGAGACAGAGCAGTGCAAAAAAAGACAGCTGTGGATGCCCAACTTCCCCCATGCAGGATCCCAGCTGAGTAAACAAAGCAGCTGCAAACACAGGCCATTTTTTTTATGGAAATGGCAGATTGACTCAGGGGGGAAACTGGAGGCTGAAGGTCTATTTTCTAGGTGGTATGAGGTTTTAAGAGAATTTCAGCAATCTACAGAAACTGAGAAGGATGAAGTGACAGAGTTGTTTGAGGGTTTGGGGTATGCATTGGTCACATAACCAGCCCAGTTCCTTTTAATTTCTGATAAAGCTTTCCTCAATTGACTTCTTACTCTGTATTTCCAGATGACAATACAGAACACATCATTGCATAAGTGTGATATGAATTTTGGTCTGCTTATCTTATCTTTGGGGACACAATAACCCTCATGTTAATTAAAGGGTTCCAGTGGGACGGGCTTAGAGAAAGGTGTGTGATTGGGTACTCCTCCTGGGGAGCACTCACAGACTGTGGGGATGGAGACAGTGGGTTTTCCATGAGACGGAATGTATTAAGACCATAAGAACCAGGAGCTAACACTGATTATATTTGTTAATACACAGGAAATGTCTTCCCGAGAGTAAAGCTGAATCCAATGAAAGCAGAGCCAAAGATGGTTAGTTAGCTGGATAGATACACAGACAGAAAAAGAAGGGATAGAGAGACAGATACATAGACAGACAGATGGATAGACACATAGTGGATGGATAGATAGACAGACTGACCTTCACTATCATTTGTGCATTTATACCATTCTGTGTGTGCCTGAGAGCAGCATTTCTCGTTGAATTCCCCAAATATTTAGAGCTAGTATCTTATTTAAGAAAGTTTGGTCAGAAATCTGTTGCTGGCATTTAAATTAGTCCCAACTGATACACATACCAAGCATCAAAAAAGCAGAAACAGAAGCTTGTTGTGAAGACTTTGCATATGGGGTGAGGAAAAGAGCTCAGGGACAGGCACAGAAGGTACCAATGGTTCCCCCCTGGCTTTCAATCCTGATCTCGAAATTTTTGCATCTCGATTGAAGAAGCTGAGTGACAGTAGCACCTATGAAGGACACCACTGAGAGTGTAGGACCTGGAGAGATGCTCCTGAAACTCGCAGGTTCCTCTTCTGCAATAGTAGGAAGCACTTACCTGACCTAGGGGAAGAGGGAGTGCCAGTTGCTGCCCAGGGAGGTGGATGAAGGGAGAATTGGAGAAGTCAAATTTTGAGTCAGAGTAGGCATGTCAACTGGTCAAATTAGAGCTACAACAATGCACATTGCATCAGACCACATGAGCTGTCAGGATGGTACCTGCCATAGAGGACCTGAGCCCTCACAGCCTTATCTGTCTGAGCTCCATGCTGTAACCACACCTCTCCTCCGCATGCCCATTTCAGTCACATTCACGTACTTGCACCTTTTGCCCTTTGCTCTGCATCCAGATATCTCCTGAAATAGGTTAAAATTTAGTCTAGGGGTGAGTAAACTAGGCCCCTGAGCCAGGAAGGCCCTCTGTTGCTGTGGAGTTCTGTTAGATCAAAGCCAGGCTAAACCGTTTTGTGTTGTCTGAGGCTACACTCCAGCCTCAGGGACTTTTCCACATTTCATGAAGTCAATGCCCAGGGATAAAGAAGACCCTTTAGAGACCATCCAGACCAACTCTTTCGGTTTTCAGATAAAGAATTAAGGCACCTACAGGTACATAATTAGCTGTTATTAATCTTAGGATCAGAACAGTCTCCCGGTTTCTATTTATGATACCGATGCTGACATCTCTCATCTGAACCACTTAGGCTGAATTTTGTATTCTACCAAAGAGTCAGCAACACCTTGGTTCACGGTCACATCCTTCTTGGGGGCAGTCTCATCAGCTGTCTCTGTAAATAACAGCAACAGGGCATGGAGGACCAAGATTAGGATGACTGTGAAGATAGCAGGGGTCTTCATGGCCGTGAGGACCTGGAGATGAGGGACTCTGAAAGCACTGAGTAGCCCCTGTGACTCTGGGGACAGAAAGGATCCATCTCTGTCTTTAAATTTATCTGTTAGGAGATGGGAGAATCTAATATCAATCTCTTGGAGACATTGTTGGCACACATTCTGTGACTCCCTGGTTCAGAGGCAGAGTGGAGTGGGTGAGCCATGTGAAATCCTCCTGCTGTTTCCAGGCAATGCTTTGATGTCTGTCTGATCTGGGGACTCCTCGGAATGGATGGCTTTCTGAGGATGCTTTCGAGTGTGAAGTGGAACTGGCCAATATGTTGATGGAGGGTCCCAGTGTACCCACATTAACTAAGCTATGATGCAATGGTTCCTCCTTGGAAATTTGTCCAGCTTGAGCTGACTTATACCTTACCCAGCCCCCAGATCTGGCTTCATTTTACTCAAAGCCTGACAGTGTGGTCATCCTCACATCTCTAGGTGAGTCATGAGTATCCTCTGAGAACTCAATTTGAAAGGGCAGCTTGACATTGTCAGCAGCAAGGAGGGGCTTGTGTCTTAATGGCCACATGTTTTGTTTTGTTTCTTCTGGTCCTCCAGTACCAGTACACTGCCTAGGTCTAGGCCATGATAGCCAGAGCAGACGGATCCCTCTTCTGGAGAAGCAAGGAGAGAATCAAGTTCCTATCATCTTCTAGTGGGAGGAAAGCTCTGACCATGGAGCTCAAGGAAAAGGAAGCAGGACCAGCCTGCACTGGGTTGATGGATTCTTTGATATTGGAAGAGTTTTTATGCACAAAGAAAAATGTTACCACTATTTGCACTAAATTTAATGCTCAATCAATGCTTTTGAAAACCGATTCTTGAATAATAAATGTTGAAACTAATGCAGTAATTTAAATGATGTGAACCATTCTACAGTGAGCTAATACATTTAGCATGCCTGATTCTTTTCGAACACTTCCAACACCTTCAACAACAGATAAGCACACTCAAGAGCAAGGATGACAAACTTGGTCATCTAGAAAAGTGCAAATCTCATGGATTTAACTTTGTTTCTTGTTTGTTCTGATATTACTACCTCTTAGAGTTTTTGTAATCTTTCCAGCCATAGCAGGAGGCTTCATGAGGATGCAGATCCTGGTGTCAAAGAGCTGACTCTTCCCGTGGAAAGCCACTTGCTTGTCTCCACGTTGACTCAAACATGAGTTTCCAGCTATTATCAGGCCAAGACTATGTTTTTGCAATAAAAATGGTTTCTTTTATCATGTCATGGTGCTTGTAAATTGCTTCCTTTCATAAAAGTTTTGATTTGAGAGAGACTTTCCTTTCTGACACACAGTATTCTTGCAGTTTTTGCACGATGGTAAGTTTTTGAGCAATTGTGTCATCATTATGATGGATTGACATAGTTCATAGGGTTATTACAAACATGATATTTCTCACTAGAATTTTATTAAGATTAGTATTGGTTTATTATAATTAGCAGACTCAGTCTCTTTGAAGAAATGGAGAGTTGAGAGCAACTCCTTCATTGGACATTGGCCTAATTTACCATTTGAGGTCCAAAGGAGGACCAGTTACTTCACCGGTCACTAGACATGACCGCCTCTATTGACCAGCGACTAGAATCCTCTTGTCTCTGGGTATTAATCAAAATTATTGATGCTGATTAGTGTTTTGTGATTTTGGACACCTTTTACTTTTTCCTGATTTGTGGCTCACTGAAGCTTTAGTCCTTCTATATTATTGATAAACTTACAAAACTATGCATCTATACTTTACACATCTGCCTAAATTAAGTAAAACATTTATATACATCAATGCCCTCCCACCCCTTAAATTTAAGGGAGTAGAGAACATAGCTCATTGGATCCACATTTCCTTGACCCAACAAGACCTTCTGGTACACTTCATAGTCACTTCCCTCTTTTGAGTATCATTATGAATAAATCAAATTTTATAGATAAAAATGTTGTAATTAGTAATTAGTTTGATTTTGGCTGTTTTTGTTATTGCAGCATGACGCTCAAATTGTGCAAGACTGGAATGCAAAGGCCAGTAAACTTAATGAAGACCTTTTTGGATGGAATTCTTTATATAAGTGAGCCACAGAAATAAGCCGTATGAAAAGGTAAAAAAAAAAAAAGGGAGCGAAAAGAACAATACCAAACATACTGAGTTTAATGCTTAAAGTTTATTTAGGAGAGAGAAATAAAAAAAGGTAGAAGCTACAAAGAGTAAAACGCTTTCCAGGTCTTCAAATGGAATCTTATGCTGCTTGGGGTCTCAATCCTCAAGCTCAGCGAAGACAGCAGAGCTTGTATGCCTTGCCTTTTTTGCTTATACACATCCCAGAGCCACGCTCATGGCTAAGGCAGCTATTGGAGTGCCGGCAGGTGCAGGTAGCTGTTCCTGTAATCCCTGGAGAAAGAAGAGGATGGTCAGGCACAAGAAGAAGGAGAGAGGGAAGGAAGGTAGAGCCAGCCTTATCAAGATTTACTAAGGTGACATGTCTACTTACAATATAAAATGCCAGTCGTGTTAGGGTGGTGAGAATTCAATTTTTTGTCATAACTCACAAGAAATCTTACTGGCTGTGTGTTGGTTGTGCAGGATCATAATTTTTCTCTGATCTTCATCTGTCATGTATATGCTTATTTCCTATCCTTCTGAAGGATCCAACTCTCAAACTTAGAATTACCTATTCCTAACCTCCCCTCATCCACACATCCAATGTGAGCCCAGCTTCTACGTACCAAGGGCCTTGTAAGAGCCTGGTTACTCTCTGCTGATGAAGCTGGTGCGTTGCACATGCCTATGTCGTGGATTCAAACCCTTTTATTCTCAAGGGGCCATTAAAGAGGCTCTCAATCCAATGTCTTCATTTTTTAGTGATTTCCTGGCTAGTTTGTGGCACATTGGGACTGCCGACCCCCAAAGCAAGGTGGCTGGTGTCTCACCTTTTGAAGCTCCTCGAGCAGAGCGTTTATCCCCTGCAAAGGAGATAGTCATGTCCTGGACCTCGGCCCCAGGCTGGTCCTGGGCAGAAACTTGGTCATCTGCCTTCTCCAGGTTCTGAGTCTGGGCCTGGAGGGCCAAGAGTAGAAGGGCAGTGAGGAAGGCAAGAGTCCTCATGTCTGTGAGTCACCTGGAGTTCAGGGTCTGGATGGGAGAGCAGGAGTCTGAGTAGACGGGGAGCCCAGAGTCACCTGTATTTATAGGTCTGAGAGGAGTATGCTCAGAGACACACAGCTCAGTGAGAGAAGGGGGGCATTTGCCTGGGGATGGGGCCCAGGCCACTGTGCCCTAAAGTTTCTCTGAAGCTTCTTTGTTCCAGGAGGTTTCAGCAAACACAAAGCTATATGTTTACTCTCTACACTTGTTTCAAGTTGATAATGATGAAAGGGAGTCTGGTGTCTTGTATGTTTCCCATCTGCTTGAATATTGACTTTTTAATGTTCAAAAAGGACAAGAAGTAGTGTTTTCATTCAAGAAGTTCAGGGAACTAACACATCTTCTCTTTGAATGGGGCTTTCTCATCTCTGGAGGTCTGGACCCTGGGCCGGACGTGGAACCCAATGGAGTGGAAGATTAATGGATCACAGGACTCAGGGGCATTACTGCCATAAGAAGGAGGCTTTGGTTCTGGGGTGAGTAGGCTCCTGGATGTGGAGAGGACAATGACTGGCAGACTCGGGGGGAATGAGCTCAGTGGGATTCTCCATAAAGTGTTGGTGAGACTAAAGCCAAAGAACAGATTCATTTCAAGAAGCCAGTATGATCTAAAGACATCACATAGAATGCACACCAGTTATTCCTCTTGACTTTGAGAGCCATCCAAACTTATGATACCTTATGACCCCCTTCTTGAATCCTTAATTTTATTTTTCAATTAAAATTTTGAATCCATGCACAAGGAACAAAATTCAAAAGGTAGAGGAGCAATGAGTGACAAATACTGTCTCTCCTCTCCCCGCCCCAGCCCTCAGCCTTCTCCAGGAAACCCCCACTGTTAACACATTATTAGGCAGCTTGCTTTTCTCACTAATGCTTTAGCAGGAACGCTTTTATATCAGCACACACAGAACTCTATCATTATTTTTAACAGCATTATACTATCCAACTGTTTTTGTATACCATCATTCAACTATCTTCTTATTGAAAAAACATTGTTAAATTGCTGCAATCTTGTGATTTCCAAACTTTTGCAGTTACAAGCAGGACTGCATTGAGTATCTTTTTATATATATATATCATCTTGCTCATAAGTGAATGCATCTTTTAGACAAATTTCCTGAAGTAGAATTGCTGGGTTGAAGAACACGTCTTATACGTTTACAGGTGTTACTCCATTGTCCTCCATAAAGGCTGCCCCAACAGCACTCACACAAATACACCAGCCTGGATACTCCCCACCCACAATGGAGTGTGTTCTAGAAGCCCTGGGATGAGCCAGTTTCCATCCTCCTTTCTTCCTGCCTAGATATGGTTAGTGATGTGCTTGCTCAAAATACCTAATGTCCTAGACTTTCTCACAGCTCAGAGTTGCCCCCAAAGAGAGTTTTGACCAATGAAACATCATCACTAGAAGGGAACCCTTTTCCAGTAGTAAAATAAACCTTTGTTATTGCCTCACACCCTTTATTATGTTAACTTTCATCTTCTGCCTCTCTCTGCTTGAGTGACAGAAGCACTTGGACCTGCAGCAGCTGCGTTTTGACCAAAAATAAGATGGTTACTCCATGTGGACGCTGGAGCAGGTGCACACACGATGCTGGGACCATAAGGCCATAGTTGGGCCACCTCACCCCATCCTGGACTCCACACTTCCAGTTGTTGTGACCTGGGAAACACACACTATATTCTTTCTAAAGCCACAGTTTTCTGTGGGTTCCTGGTGTTTGTGGCTGAAAGCAGGCTGATCTGTGACTGAGGCTTTCTGTTCTTTCCCAATCTGAGAGGTAAGAAATGGGATCCCAGTCTCATCTTGGTATCCATTTCTCTCACGAATCAGAATCCACATGTTACCTGGTCTGAGAAGTATTTGTATTTCTTTTCCTTAAATGTCCTTTCTTTTTTGCCTGTTTTTGAAAGTGGAATTTTTGGCTCATTTATTCCTATTGCTTTGTAGGAACTCTTTGTAAATTCAGGAGAGGAGATTTTGTTCCCAAGTACTGGAAATTGTTTCCAGGGTTTGTCCTTCTGGCCTTTGTTTTTTTTTCTGCCAGGCAGAAACGTTGGACTTTGTCATTTAAAAAATTCTTTCATGATTTCTGAGTTTTGCGTCTTTCACACTTGCTTTTGTAAAACTTGGTCTTCCAGGTGTTAGTGCTTTTTTGGCACGAAAATAAATCCTCACATCTTGTGATATGAGACAGAGTGTCTGTCTGACCTGCTGCCCCCTCTCAGGGGAGCTGTACATTCCCAGTGGGGTTATCAGGATCCTTATAATTTTGAATTAGGAACGGTACATGTGGACATCCAGCAAGTAGATAGGACACATGGCCATGGGTGGAGTGCCAGATCACAGGAAGAACAAAAGGGCTTTAGGCAACAAGGGAGCTCTGTTTATTCCTCCTTCTCTTAGGTCCCTCTGTGCTGCATTCCCCAAATCATAAGCATATCCACAAGTGTTGTTATGCAGACACAGACATCCATTTCCAAAGGCCCATTAACTCTGATCTTTCACCAATTGACTTGTGCATCCATAGGGCTATTTCTCTTCACTCCTCAGAGACACTCAGCATCCTGCTACCTGACAGGAGGCACTAAACCCCAATAGGGATCACTGTCTTGATGATGAGGACTTGTTTCTGCTTCCAGTACCATGCATCTTGAGCCTTTGATGGGTTGATTCTGCTGGTCATTATATTGTCAAACAGCCCAGTCTGTGGACAGGTCAACAATACTCCCAGCCACCACGTCCTGAAATCAATGAAATCTCCTTACGTGACAGTAATTGTAAATAGGAATTTTTGCCGGTTTTGTCTGGTAATATGTTTTCCTCAACTATTCAAAAGGTGAAAACTTCGATCAGGTCCCAGGGGCTTCACATTAACCTTTCAATGAGGGGATTTACAAAGGCATGTATTAGGGAGAGGCCACAACTCTGTTTGAGATCATCAGATGTCAAATGCCTGATAATGACCCGCCTTCAGTTCATGAGCTTAAAACTCAAATAACTCCCAACAACTCACATTAGTTAACACTCTAGAATTCAGAAAGATAAGAGAGTGTAGAGGGTAGTAGTTAAGTATTGGGGATTTGGCATCATTTTGTTGCTTAACCTGTTGTGATGTTTAGTAAGATCCATAATTTTTCTAAGGTTCATCTTCCCATCTGCAAATAAAAAAAAGTTGATAATATTTTCTTAATATCGTTATTGAGAGGATTAATTATCATAGTGGATGAAGAGTACTTAGTAATCAATAAATATTAGCTAAGATTAGCATAGTAAATACTTCTCTGTATCCAGAGAAAACTACTTTGCACACAGTAGTTTCTCAATGGATAGTCCTTCTATGAAGTCACAACAGCCATTCTTCATCCCACATCATGTGTAAAGAATGCAATCACATTCTCATTTAGCATACGATGAGTCCCACAGGATTTAAATGGCATGTCCAAAGGTAAATGACAAGCACTTATTGGAGCTGGATTGGAAACCCAGGTCTCCAGTTTATAAAGACCTCAAGAAGTTTGTGGTATTATTCTGTATTGATAGAGGGTCACAATATAAGAAGTGTTTCAAGTTAGTGCAATACTTAGGAAAATCACACTATGATACAGTAAAGGCTTCAAGTCCTCCTCAAAGGAGAAAGAGGGTTTGAACAAGGAGAGAAGCAAGAGAACAGTTTCCACATATATGGAATGGAGCGAAGAAGGAAAGTGACAACAACATTCAATCAGGCAGCATGGAGATGGTGATGACTGGGAAAGAAGCTAGGGAGAATGAAGAATGGCCATGAATTTGTCTGGCTATGAGGCTGGGAAGCTTCTTGGAGACCTTGTAGATAAGCCTTCTTTTTTGAGGCGAAGGCCCTAAGGATGGGGGATGATAAGTAGAAATCGAGCTGTCACATGAATGCAGGACTCCTGAAGCCAGTCAAGCATACATTCTTTTCTTCATTTTCCCACACTCTATAGGGAGTTCAGAGCTACACTACAGGTACCTTAAAATAGGAGTACAGGACAGTTGGGTGATAGTAGCCAGCAAGCATTTCTTTCAACATGGGCTCTTTGTGATCAATATGATGTTTTGGGAAGATTTTTCTGAGTTGTGCACAGTATGGGTTTTCATGAGCCCTTAGAGTGCTGGACGGAGATACTGCAAGTTTGCTATGAGAATGAGAGGTGATGACCTGGCTGAGGTAGTAGATCCCAAAGGCAGTGCTGATGGAGAAGACGTGGTTCAGTAGGGACATCCCCTTTATCTCCCCTCAAGGTAGAAGAATTCTCAACTTTTATGTAGCTACTGATGACTCTAGGATGCTTCTCCAAAGTACAATGGGAATATCGTTGGAGTCTGTTGTGGGTTAAATCAAAATATGGGACTCTTATCCATGGGACAAAAGTATGTTACTTTTCATAGCATTTGGGAGAATCTATGAGTCATACAGGTCACTGAAACTTTTAACCCAATGTGGGAAGTGATGTTCTGCACTATTACTCTGTCTTCTTCTTTCAAATTCCTTTCTTATAATCTTGTCTTCCAAATTGGCTTTCCATCTCTCTCACTCCCTGGTCCACTCAAAGACATGAACATACATTCATTTCTGTGATCAGTAAAGATGCTTTCTCTTCTTGTCGGGACCAGACCAGGTTTTATCTTTATGTCTGTGCACAGCACAGCAAGCTGAAATACCTGCTTTCTCATACAGCCCAATCAGTCCCAAACACCCCCACACACCAGGGTTTTCCTTACCTCCCACCACTGTCAAAACTGATGAATAAGAGGACCAGGAACTTCTGCTAGTTTCAGAGTCACCATGGCAGAATTCTGCAGGCCTTTGGAGACCACTTGAGAGGTCTGTATACTAATGGAGGACGAGGGCCCAGCTGAGCCTGCGGTTCACACAGGCCACCATGGGGCCAGGCATGCAAATGATACCATCTTTGCCCCTCCAGCCTGGCCA